CCGCAAGGAAACAATGGAGATATTGAAAATGTAACACCCCAACTCGTATCCGACCAAGATATAAATCAAAGGTGTCACATTGACATTTCAGAACATTTACTTATACAAAATAGTGAATAATTTTAAACTTTTACTAAATACTACTAAATAATTACATAAAATACAATCATATGATTTTACAAAACTGATTTGAGCATATCGGATTCAAATCTTTATTTACATGTCAACCACAATCAATATTACAAATGACATACTATTAAATTCTTTTCTGATCTGATCTTTGGAAAGGAGAAGCTGACATGTCTTGCTTAACTTTACTCCTTCTTCTTCTCGGAACCTACGTGTGAAACAATCACACGCTAAGTTGTTGACTTAGTAAGACGTATAAAACATGTAATAGAAATCATGAAACATTTCACATAACAGAATGTATAAATGCACATATACCATCATTATCCACATTAACATCATTATCATGATCTCTATCATTATCATTTATGTATATCATATAACACATATGTCATTTCACAAAGAAACACACATAACATAATATAATTCCTGTAACACGTTTAATATCACCAAAAGCATATACATCACATATATTGTATTTGTTATTATCTCTTTATTAGCCTATGATACACTTGTGATTCAGTGTAAACAATAATAACAAGATATCATATAATAATGCAAACACTTTTGATATCTTTTATAGGCCCATGTACATTACTGAGAACTTAAGGTATTCGAGTACATTGAGGTTGTGCACTTATGCTGTCACCACAGCTTGTATGGGGTCTCACTAGGGGCATGTGAAATTTGTCCCGAATGACCTATGAATTTTTTTCCCGAAGGACCACTCCTTAAGAACCATGTACATATTCCAATGGACCAAATAAGTGTACCAAAGTACCACATATATGTTCCAGAGGATTACATATATGTTCCGAAGGACCACGTAGAACCCTCGATTCTTGGCATGCCAACTATACCCCTAGCTCTCATATCACATAACATGGGCATTATCATTTATAACAGTTCACATCACTTGTATCATATAAACATGTAATCTCATAACTCGTTCTCATGTAGCTTGTATATAATTCTTGTATGATCTCATAAATCCTTGTATAATATTCTTGTCATATAATCCATATCACATAGGTTCATATCATATAACATATATCACATGTGCATGAAATCAAATAGATCGTATCATATAGCTTATATCATTTCTCATGTGTTCATGTAAACACATATGTCATAACTTATTCACATATGTTCATATATACATCACATAGCACATAGAATAACATATAAACTTATACATGTATTCATGTACATACTTTCATATAGTCCGTATATCAATGATATATAACTTATCTCACAGTTTTACCTAATCACTTATATCACATTAATTATATATTATTTCCATGTATTTACTTAATTCGGTTTCACATATTTTATATTTTATTCTCATATGTTCACACCGATCATGGTCACATAAAATAATATGTCAGACATATCACATAACTTATATTACATGTTCCTATAATCACTTATGGAATCATGTATTCACAAATTCATGTATAACGTTATGCATGCATCAAAAATCAAATAATATTTTAGGAGTCACTTCTTACCATAGTAACTCCGTCACTGGCTCATCGCAAGCCAATGTTTGTTCGATAACATAAGTCAAATTAAATTTGCACTCACCTTGACACTTTATATATCCAAATCCACTTCTATGATTTATCTCTTTGAATTTATCCTAACTTTGCGGTTGTTTCAGAACTTGTTTGTGCTCGATATCTACACAATCATACATATAATATCCATATCAGCATTCCAAATATTATGATTCAATCATTCATTTCTTAGACTAAAAGAAAGATTAAATTCTATTTTCCTCTTGAAGTGTATCGATACACACTATAGAGTATCGATACATCCCTCTACTGGTGTATTGGTACACTGCCTATGTATCGGTACACAAATTACATTCGAAACTTTTCATTTTAAGGGGGTATCGATACACTCCTTAATGTATCGATACACCATGAAGATGTTCTTCCTACATCATTTCCAGATCTTATACAATTTTTCCATAATTTTTCTCACTCAAATACATCATGGCCGAATTTTCAAAGAATAATTTATAGAAAGATTGAACATGTTTTAACCATAAATCAAGCTTGAAAATGAATATACAACCTCTAAATCATCAAGATTTATCATCAATTTCATGAATTCTATCATGAACATAAACCCTTAGATTTGAGATCTTTGAAATCCAACAAGATTAGAAAGAAATATTAGTACCAAATTATAGCGTTTTTCGCGTAGATCAATTTCCTATTTCATGGCATAACTCGAATTCCAAAGGAATTGACTCAAAAATTGAAAACAAAATGTTTTCTTACCTTTGGGAGAGCTCACGTCTTTGCTGCTGATTAAATATTGAATAAAAAATTCATTAAATGTTAAATTACCACTTTACCGTTGAAATCAAAATATTTATACTAATTTACACTTAATGAACTTGATATTTACATTAATATCAAGTCACATAAACCTTATCATCTTCCAAAGTCAAAGATGAACAAAATATTTTCCCAATTTACCATTTTGCCCTTGCAATTTCCAAAACTTACAATTCTGTAACTTTAATCAAACAGTCCAAATTAAACATGGAATTAAACCCTTAAATATTATTTTCCCACATTTAAAAATGTGAAAATAATATATTTATTTCCTTATTTTTGAAACCAATTGTAACTTTTTAAAATTACCATTTTGGTCCCTAAACTTTTCAAAATTTATACTTTGGTCACCAAACTTTACAATAATTTGGTCACTAACTAAATCCATTTATGGAATAAAATTCTTTTTTGGAAAAATACCACTTAGGTCTTTAAACTTTTCCCAATTTTCTACTTTGACCATCAAACTTTCAAAATTTGCATTTTGGTCACTAGTCCTCTTTTTGGGATGTTACAGAAAGCACAAGCAATTGAAAGGGGTAACCTCCTCAACTGCTATATATTTGATTTTTTATGTGCCCATTTGTGGAAGGTGAGTCGTTGAATATTATTTTACATATATGATTTACTTATTCATATTATAATTAGGGGTGTTATTTGTTCGGTTTAACTCGACTTAAATGATCGAACAAAAATTTAGTTTAGTTAATCGGTAAGTTAAGAAATTTTTAAAATTTTGATTATCAATTAATTAACTAAATTAACCAAAAATAATAAATATTTAATATGTTATATATATTACATATATATTACATATTTTAAGCTCAAGGCCGTTAAAAATTAATATCCAATTATTTTTAATCATATTAGATCCGTTAAACTTTTAGAATCCAATCAAATTTTAACCTAAATGAAGAAAACACATCTATTAAACCCAAATTAATCTAACTAAAAAACTTATGAAAAAAATTCAGTTAATTTAGCCCCGACCAAAAATTGTTCGATTAACGTTAAAGAAAAAATTCTAGTTAATTCAGTTTTGATTAATTCATTTCAGTATTGAATTAACCGTTTGAACACTCTAGTTGTAATATCATTATTGCATATATAATTTGGAGAGATAAAAGAGAATTTTCTCTTTGTTAAGTAACCCAAATTTAAACAGCTTTGTTTGTCTGCGTGAATTTAACTGGATATAAAAACTACAGTAAAAATGTTCTGTAGCGGCGTTTTTAGGGTAAACGCCACAAAATTTAAGCATGTAGCGGCGTTTACAATCGAAATGCCACAAAAGACTACTTTAGCGGCGTTTTTTCAACAAACGCCACAATAGAGTGGTAATTTAGCGACGTTTATAGTTCAAACGCCAGAATATAGTTGTTTATAGTGGCGTTTTTTCAACAAACGCCGCAATAGAGTATTAATTTAGCGGCGTTTTTATACAAATAGGGTTGTTTATAATGGCGTTTGTCCAACAAACGACGCTATATAAAAGTAATTTAGCGGCGTTTATCAAAAAACATCGCAATCAGTACAACAAATCTGGTTTTTAGCGGCGGTTGTAAAGGCATTTTTATAGAAAACGTCGGTAATTTTTTACATATAGCGGCGTTAAAAAAGCCGCGATATCTAAATTTATAGTGGCATTTTTGGGAAAACGCCACTAAAACACGTACTTTAGTGGCGTTTATGTAAAAATGTCGTGATAGCCAGATATATAGTGGCGATTTTGTAAAAACACCGCTAAAATTTCGTACTGTGCTGACGTTTTATTAAAAACGTCGCTATAAACGCATGCATTACTGGCGTTTTTTGGAAAAACGCCGCTATAGAGTTGTACAATAATGGCGTTTGTTATAAAAACGTCATAAAATCACGTACATTAGTGGCGTTTTTTCATGTAAACACCGCAAAATGATAATTATATTTCCCCACTTTCTCCTTGTCGATCCCTAATTCTTTTGAACTTCTTTTTCCTTATCTTCCCTCTTCTTCCCTAATTCTTCCTCGAAAAACTCCAACGCATGGATATTTGATGATTATGGTTTGTTAGACGGCATTACAATGCTTGGTGGTGATATTCCTTCACTTCACCCTTCAGCCCCTATTTGGTCATCTAATTCCCTCACTTGTTGTATTCTTCTTAGGTTCCTCTCTTCTCATTTTCTTTCTTTTTAATTGAATCATTTTGAATTTTCGAATTTCCAGGTATCATATTTGTTGTACATTTCACGCAATTTCAAATAGGTTTCAGACTTTGGGTTCTCTAAAAAAATGAAAGTTTTATGCTTTATTTTAGTGAATTAGGTTTACAAAGTAATTGCTTTCGTATTGGGGGTATTTTACGAGATCATATGGGGGCTTCATCTTGCAAATGCATCTCCTTCCTTCGAATTTAAACTTCAAATAGAATTGTGCCTTCACCTATCACTACTGTATACAAAGACTTATACCTACAGATTAAAGGTCTGTTTGTTTGGGGAAAACATTTTACGAAAAATATTTTACGAAAAATATTTTCACCTTTTCCTATGTTTGGTTCCCGTAAAATAAAAGGTCATTGTAAGTTGTTTTCCGGTCAACGGAAAACTTAATGAAAAACACGGTAAAATGACTTACCGTTTGGAAATCCGTAAGTCGTTTTCCAGCTTCTCCCGTCCCTTGCTCCACATTGATTCTGAACTTCCTTCTCCCGTCCCTTGCTCCACATCGAAACTTCACTGTTTCTTCCTTTAATTCCTTCATTTCTTTTTCATCACCAAAGCACTCTCCATTATTCTCTTATATTTTTCTTTAGCTTTTTTTTTAAGATCCATCTGATTTCAATGGCAACTCTTGCACCTACCCCTCTTTCGAAACACCCTTTATCAAGTTCACCAAAGGTAATTTTCTTCACTCATTACCACCCTTTTCCCTCTCTTGAATCGTTTAAATGCTGAATCTGTATGTTCCTAAATCTGGGTTTACTTTATTTGTTAGCAGGTCTTTGATTCCAGGGTCCAAAGTGGGGAGATTCAACTGACCCAGTTCAGATTTTGGGCTTATTTCAGGTTAGGGATTATTTTGATCGATTCCCCATTGTTCAAAATCCTAGATTTGTTGTGGTTTCTCGGAGATTTATAGCTCCAAATGTGCTTAATATTGTTCAATGTTCATAGGTATGGTGTTGAATTATTGATAAGTTAATAATTGAATTAGGGATTGGGGATTAGGTTATGGATCTGAATGGATTGAAATGATTTCCCCAATTGTCATAGTATGCCTCAGTTTATTTGATTGTTTGCTTCTCTCGATCATATTCAGTCTTGCTTCTGGTTTTAACTTTTTGTTGCGAAATTATTGGATTGTCGAAAATGAAAAAGGGAATGTACCAATTCTGAGCAACAAGGCTCCTTTGTATATCCCTTCCTTTGAGTGTCGTCTAGGACATCAGATTGTCAAACTTGAGGTCTAATACTGCTTTTCATTTTAGAATATTTTGCCTCTGCAAACCATTGTGCATTTATTATTCAGCATATTCTGTTTTCACTTTGATAGTGTATTTTTCTTTTAGAGTTAAGTCTCTTCTCTTGTTCACTTTATTTGTTAACTGATCTGGTGGACTTGCTTCTTGTTAAGCTTCCCGCTGTTACCTCATTTTATAGAACTGGAGAAGTTAGTGGACAGTTAGAGCGAACAGGAAAACCAGTGAGTTTTCTTTAGGACATGACTGCATGAAGGATATTTTCCTCCCCTTTTAGAGTTTATTTGCAATAGCAACCATTTATTGTTCTTGTTTCATTCTACCCTATCCACTGCATGATTGTCTTACTTTTGCTTTGCTTTGCTTTGAGTTCAGGTTGGGCATGTTTGCTGGGTTGACAATGATGTAATAAATGGAAAACCAACTGGAGCGGTTAGAGTATCTATTGGTTACATGTCAACTTATGAAGATGCTAAGGTAGTCTTTTTCTACCTTTTGAGTTATGCCCTTTATTTCTATTCTAGAAAAATGTATGATATTATTATTTTATTGTATACATGCATCAGCTGTTACATGAAATGGAACATAGAAGCTTCCAACATAAATGATACTAATCTAGAGAAGGTCCTTTGTATCCATACCAGTAGTTCGAGAAGGTACCTGCTCAGATCAAAGTCAAATTCCATACCAAAACTGAAGTTGTTCAGGGTTTTGGTTCATTTTTATAGCCAATAAAATGAAAACTATGTTAGATTTGCAAGTTCTCCTTTTCCCAATTGGCAATTATTTTCATTGTAAATAACGCTATTATACCTATAGTATTCACAATCACAGCTATAAGTACATTTTAATACCATGATTAGACTGGTATTATTACGGTTGGATATTATTGTTATTTTAATGTCATAAACCCTTTAATTATATATTTGACACTATTATATATTACAATGTTTATATACTATGTGTTTTAATTTGATGTACTATTAATTAAACTTTCTTAGGATTTATAAACTTTTATAATATATTTTTAATCAATTATTAATATTATATAAAATAAACCTACATAAAATAAACCTAAAATAGTGTATTTATAACACAATCAACATAAATTATTAATATTATCTAAAATACAAACTTTTATAAAATATAATTATATATTAAAAAAATTAACCTTTAAAAATAATAAAGAATAAAACATATCAAATATGTATGCTTCTTTATTAAAACAGATTCTGACAATTGTTTTCAGAAAAATTAACCAAACAGTGTAAAACATTTTACAATGTACCATCCAAACACTGGAAAATGTTTTCTGGAAAATGATTTACATTTCTGTAAAACATTTTCCAGATTTCATTTTCCGAAAAACGTTTTCAGTGAAACAAATGGACCCTAAGATGTGTATTAGAAGGGTCTTCAGCATTTATGGCTTCCAGGTACTTCAGACCATAGCTGCAGATTAAGAAGACGCTTTCCAAGTATGGACTGACCTCGAATTATGAACCAAACACAGAGTTTGAATTCGGGCACTTGAACCAAACACAATATGGTGAGTTTGTTCTGTTAAGTTTTTACTCTCTTTGTTGTTGTTAGTAAATTATAAGAGAAGAAAACCTTGCTCTGGGATTATGTTCTCGCTTCAAATCATCTGTTTCTTATGAATTTTGTTGGCTTTTCCCTTTTATTTTCAATAATGATTGTCTTGATGTCTCCAATAATGATTGTCTTGCTATCTCCAATAATGATTGTCATCACTGTCTGTATGCTAATAGCTTTTGTTTATGGCAGAACTGTGTTTATATATTCAGTCATTGCTATAATTATCTAATGATCTTTGTTGTAGTTTTGTGTTAATCTCATCCATATAATTTTATTTCGATGAAAATGTTTGCAAAGAAAATTCCCCTAGTAGAAGAAGATGTTTGGCTGTTTGAAAAGTTTAAGATCAGCCAAGGAAGAGATACAAATGAACATATGAACACTATAGAATAATGCTTGAACAATGAAGCTCGAATAATATAAGACTTGCTTGCTTTTTCTTTGGTTTTCTTAAATTCTCTTTTTGTAATTTTATATCTTGGTGTTAGTGATAAGATTTTCTAACCTTTTCATGTTATGTTTGTATCAGGTATTGATGTTAGTGAACATGATATACGGTTTGTCGAGGACAATTGGGAGAGCCCGGTTATATGGATGCGTTTTTTTTTATGTTTGTATCAGGTATTTTTTTTAATGGTGGCTTTTTTTTATGTGGATGTATGTTTTCCAATTTGTATAGTTTCATGCTATTGGTGCCTTGAGCGTATACTTATGTTACTTTTCATGGAAAATGAGTAATCTTCACCCTTTTTTCCCTCCCTCTTTTAGCTCAAAGAGTTGTTCTGAAGGTTCATAGCTTGATGCCCATTGATTCTCCCAAGAGACCCAGACTTAGATTGTCCTCTTTAATTTATTATCCCCATTGAGTTATCAATATATGCATCCTAATGGCTGGAAATGCTTTTGCTTTACCATTTATGTCCAATGTGAATAGTTATTCTATTGAATCGTGTACTTTTAGGAAGGAAATGAGTGCTTATTATTTAGAACATGCCAGTGTTGGCCATATTCAAAAGCATTTTGATTTTTTTGAGGAAGAAGCTCGTTCATTACTTGCTTCAAGATTGTCAATTCCTGCGTATGTTTACAAATGTTCCAATGATTCGTATTCCTAATTTTCTCCTTATTTACTTTCTCTTTATGTTAACATTTTATCAATAACATGCTAGGTATGATCAGCTTCTGAAGACATCTCATGTTTTTAATATCTTAGACTCTAGAGGTTGTGTTGGGGTAACAGAGCGTGCTCGTTATTTTGGTCGGATGCACATATTAGTCACACCTCCTTATTCCATGTTCTTACAAAGTTGGAAATTTAGAATTTAGAGGCATCCAATGTGGAAATACCTCAAGTGTATCATGGGGATGTATTTCTCAGAATTGTAAAATGTTTAGTGTGATGCATTTCTCAATGTCAATAGATTAATTTTTTATTGTTGTCCTTTTCTTTATTAATTTAGTGCAAGTTCCTGTACGAGCATGTACACCACATGGGAGCTTCAATTTTTTTTATATGTGACATAACCCAAGCATTCTTTTGTTATTTCAGATATCTGTTGAAAATCTTTGTCCTAAGCAAGCAGAGAATGAACTTAAGGTTGGGGTTCCTCCTGTTTCAAAAGCCTTTGACCTACAGAGAAATCCTACAAAGGTTTTGGTTGCCTCTTATCATGCTTTGCTAAATGTTTTTCAGCTTAACCGAAGGAAGTCTGATATTTTGTTCAGTGATTTTGTTTTGTTGGGTTGTATAATTCAGTAGTAAAAGGATTCTGACAGTTCCATTGGAGTTCTGCATTTTTTTTCTTTTTGTTTCAACCCATATGAAATTTGTTATTTACTGCAGACTGCTGAGGGTTTTTGCCGCAGATATGTTGTTCCACTGGACTCTATGTTCAGAAAGGCAGATGGTGAGTCAGTTTGATTCCTGCATAATACTTGATTCTCAGTATTCTGTGCTTCATCTATTTCTAGGCGAATTTATATTATATAACCCATTAAAATCATGATAAAACACCAAATAGGGGAAAACAATAGGCATTGGATATTTCTTTACCAACATTCATTACGATCTCCTAAGATCCATGTCATGTTGTAAAAGGAGTGATGTTTTATTGTTTGGTCAAACTCAAGGAAATATCTTACAGTTTCATTCGTATAAGTTCCACAAGTTCAGAGCAATTGATTTGTACCTATACCAAATGATTGTCTTGAAGTTACTTTATTAATGGCGAATTATTTACCATTCGGTTACGTTGTGCACTTTACAGTAGTTAGATCATATTATTGCATTCACTGTATCTTATTGGGCCTAATATTTAAGTTATTTGATAAAATGTATTATTTGTTGAGGGAAGTCCAAGTCAGATTTGTTCGATATGAGGCTGAGGATGATGAATGGGTTAATGTAAAGAAGGCAGTACGAGAGCAATCTATCTCATTTGAGCATTCTGAATGTAATAAGGTGTCCATTGGAAATCTCGTGTTGTGCTTGCAGGTGATTAATAGATGCACTCATTGTTCTTAAACCTCTCAATAATTTTCCATCTCTGTGTTAATTTGTGTTTCTTTCTGGAATTTAGGAGAGGAGAGACCAATCAAATTACTATGATGCTCATGTTGTAAAGATTGATTGGAAAATGCAAGACATAAGAGGGTGTAGGTGTCTATGTTTTTTTACTTCCTTTCCCACGAAGGAGCAATGAAGACTAAATTCTAGTGAACAATACTTTTTTAATTGAAAGTGAAAGAACCTAGACTAAATTCTAGAGAACAATGTCAAACTACATTACATTTAATTTTAATGTTTATAAATTTTAATTTATTTTTGTTGTTAAGTATTTTTCTGCATAACTTGTGTTTTAATTAAAATGTATGGTTGTTGTTAATTAGATAAAGCTACATGATATTAAATTTAGGTGATATAGAGCAGAAATGAAATATGCAAAATCAATTATTCTTAGCTAAGTAAAGGTAATTAGCGGCGTTTGTATCCAAAAACGCCGCTATAAATCTGACATTTGCTATAGATATCGACCTTTTGTGGCGTTTGTTTCAAAAACGTCGCTATAGATCTGACCTTTTGCGGCGTTTGTTCTAAAAACGCCGCTATTGATATCGACATTTTGAGGCGTTCGTTACAAAAACGCCGCAATAGATATCGACCTTTTCGGCGTTTGTTCCAAAAACGCCGCTATTGATATCGACCTTTTGCGACGTTTGTTCCAAAAACGCCGCGATAGATCTTGACCTATTGCGACGTTTTTTGTTCTCAAACGCCGCTAACTTTAGCGAGGTTGGTATTAGCGGTGCTTCTTGCGGCGTTTTTCATATCGCCGTAAGTGCTTTTAGCGGCGCTTAAAAACGCCGCTATAGGACTAAAAAACGCCGCAAAAAAGCAAATTTGTTGTAGTGAGATCTTCTAAAATAATTAGGGTTATGTGGAAAATCCTCATTCTATACATGAATTTATGTTAAAGCACTGATAAAACGTCCAGGCAAGAGTGAAGACTCTGAATTTACCTGCAAACACAAACATCTGTCTTCAGTCCCGGTCGACTCTCGGAGCCGGCTTCGACCTCCGCTTGGTAACAACTTCACTGGTAATGCCTTTGTTCTTGCTTCGGTGTCGTGTTCGGTCAAAACCCTGTTAGAACAACCTTTGCATGACACGGTCCGAAGAATCCAATCACCCAAAGATGAGATCAGTGATGAATATATCAAATTGTATGCAAAGGCTCTTGAGGCCTCAGACAAATTTCCCCCCTCCATGCAACAACTGACCATTGTATCTGATTGGTGGAGATTTACTTTCGACGATCTCGATTTTGGATGGGGAAAGGTTTTGAATGCCGCTATCTTAACTACTCCGGTGCCGGAAACTGCTTTCTTAATGGTAATTCTTG